TCCCCCCTGGCCCTTTCCACCGGCCCCCATGAGGCGAGGGGCCTTCTTCTATGGGGCGGGCCGCCTTTTTCCCGCCGGAAGCGGCTGCTTAAGGGGGCAGCCCCCCGGCATCCGTTGGCGAAGGTTTCGGGAAGGCCCTTTACCCTTACGGTTCGCCCGCCGGCCGTTGTTGCTCGTGCTGGAGGATTTTGACGAGGCGAAGGCCTTTCTGGGACACTTCCTAGACACTTCCTAGACACTTCCTAGACACTTCCTAGACACTTCCTGGACACTTCCTAGACAGCGAGTACCTCGTGCTGGAGGACCTGGACGAGGCGCGCGCCGCGCCTCTCATGTGTAGACTGCGGTTCATGAGCAGTGACTCCACTCTTTGCTTTGGCGAGGCGTGCCCCGCGCCTCCCTCACAAGCCGAGGAGGCGGCCGCCGCCGCGGCCGCGGGCGGGCTCGACGCGGGCCCCTTCCCCACGGCGCTCGCCCCGATCTGCGGCCAACGACTGTGAGGAGCAGTGGGCGAGGAGTCGCTGAGTAGAGGAGTCTTGCGGCAGGCCCTCGCGGAGCTGCTGCAGGACTTTGCGGCGGACGCGCGCGCGGCGGGCGTGGCGCTCCTCGCGACGGCGGCGGCGCGGCAGCAGCTGCACCCGGCCCTAACGACGGGCGCGGCCGCAGTAGCAGCAGTAGCTGGGTAGCAGCAGCAGCAGCAGCAGCAGCAGCAGCAGCAGCAGCAGCGGCTTGTCCGAGGGGCGGTGTGGCGAGATTGCGTCGAGAGGGCGCGAGAGGAGGTCGAGCGTGTGTGCGGGCGATGGCAGGCGGCCTCTTCGAGGCCACACCTCCAGAGGATCGAACCCAGTGTGGGTTCAGTCCCGTGGGTGGTGCGGTAGGCGGCTTGTTTGAGGCCGAGGTGAACTTGGCGCCGATGCCGCCCGCCGGACGGCACGCCGCCCCGCTGCAGCTGCTGCCTGTTGCCCGACACCGACACCGACCCTGACCCCAACCCACCGACCTGGCCCTAACCCTGACCCCCTCCCTAACCATAGGCGCGCCGCCCTGCTGCAGCTGCTGCCTCGCCTGCGGGCACGCCCGACGCGCCGCGTCGTCGACGCCGCCGTCTCCGCTTCCGACGGCGTCTCTCGCCCAGAAGCCGAACACGGAGTCTCGTATTCCAACCAGCGGTCGAGGGGACACGTGTTCCGCGGCACTCGACCGCGTTCCGCTGTATTCGCTGCCCGGCGCAGATTCACGCGGTGCTCTGAACACTCTGCACGGTGCCGTAGTCCCGTTCTGATGTTGGTGTATTGACCATGCAGGCTTCTCCGCCGCGGAGATCGAGGCCCTCGCCACCGCGGCCGCCGCCCGCGCAGGCGCCCGCGCCGCCGTCGCGTGTGCTGCGGCGGGCGGCGGCGCGGCGGGCGGCGGCAGCGCCGGCGGCGGCACGGGCGCCGATTTGCGGCTGAGGCGTTCCGACGTCGCGGCGGCGGCCGCGCACGCGCGCCGCGCGTCTGGGCGATTTTCCTCCGGCCGGTGAGCACGTTCATTTCGTTCGTTGAGCAGCGAGTGGATGAGCTAGGCGGCCGGAGCCGCTGCCTCGCGCGGGGGAAGGGGCGCTGCCTGGCTTCCGAGGGGTGGGCGGCATGGCTGCGGCCAGTGAGACTAGACGCGGAAGCACTGTCCTTGTGCTCCGGCTAGCCTCTCCCACGGAGCTGTGGGGAGATGTGGGGAGATATGGGGAGATATGCTCCGGCTGGTCTCTCGAGAGGGCTCGCCCTCCGCGGTACTCGGCCGCGCCCCGCCGTCTCCACTGTCTTCGCAGCCCCTCGCTTTCACGCAGTGCTCTGAGTGCTCTGCCCGAGGCCGTCCTCCCGCCTCACGGGCTGTCCGCCCACGGCGTAGGCCAAGGAGGCGCTGACGCAGGCGGTGCTGCTGCCGCTCCGCCACCCCGCCTCCTTCGCGGCCGCGCCCCTCCGGCTCCGGTCGGGCGCACTGCTGCACGGCCCTCCCGGCTGCGGCAAGACGTTGCTGGCGAGGGCCGTCGCCGCTGAGAGCGGCCTCCCCCCCCCCTATCCTGGCCGTCTGCGCGCCCGACCTTATTTTGCCATGGGCGGCGCGAATTTCGCTTGTTAGGTCTCGCCTTCATCAGCGGCCCATATCTCCCACATCTACCCACCTCTCCCCACATCTCCCCACGTCTCCCCACATCTCCCCACATCTCCCTGGTCAGGTCTCCCCTTCATCAGCGTCTCCGGGCCCGAGTTGCTGGACAAGTACATCGGCGCGTCCGAGGCGAAGGTGCGCGTGCGCGTCCGCAAAGGGCCGTCCACTCATCACGTGCATCCGCCCGTGCGTGGTGAATGATCCAGCCAACGTTAGGTGCGCGACACGTTCGCAAAGGCGAGCGCCGCCGCGCCGTGCCTCCTCTTCTTCGACGAGTTCGAGGCGCGCGGCCGCTGCGCCGGCCGCGCCCGGACGCGTCCTTGACGCGTCGCGTCCTTGACGCGTCCGCGACACGTCTCTCGCAAGGCGCTCGGCCGCGCGCGCGGCTGCGACTCGACCGGCGTGACGGATCGCGTGGTCAGCACCCTCGAATCAGTTATCAGTGTAATCACTCATTAGTTGATGGATTCATTAGGCGTGACGGATCGCGTGGTCAACACAGATCTCCCCATATCTCCCCATATCTCCCCACATCTCCCCACAGGCGTGACGGATCGCGTCGTCAACACCCTCCTCTGCCATCTCGACGGCGTCGAGGCCCTCGGCGCCGTGTTTGTCCTCGCAGCCTCCTCGCGCCCCGAGCTGATCGACCCGGCTCCTCTGCTCCGGCCCGGCTGTTCGTTGAGGAGGTCGTTCGTCGGTTGACCAGCAGCTGCTGAACCATCAGGCCCTCCTCCGGCCGGGCCGGATCGACATGGCGGTGGCGTGCGGCTTGCCCGACGAGGAGGAGAGGCTGGCCATCCTCTCCGCCCTCGCACGCCCGCTTGGGCTGCCGCTCGCCTCACTCCGCCGCCTCGCCGCCATCGCCGCGGCCACCGCCGGCTACTCGGGCGCAGAGTTGCGCGCGGTCCTCAACGCGGCGCAGCTCGCGGCGGCAAGGGAGGCGGGCGCCGCCGCCGGGGCGGCGCAGGCGGCGACGCCGCGGGCGGCGGCGCCGCTCTCCGCCTCCACCGCCGCGGACCGCGCCACCGCCGCGTCGGCGGCGCGCCTGCTCGCGGCGGTATCGCCCGGATGGTGCGATGCGGCGGCCGTCTGGCGGGAGGAGCTGCGGCGTGGCGCGGGCGGCGGCGGGGCGGCCGACGTTGGCACCGGGCCGCCGCCGATCGAGGTGCGCCACCTCGACGAGGCGCTCCGCTCCTGCCAAGACAGCCGCTCCTCTGGCTCTGCCTCCGCGCCGTCCTCGTCGTCCTTTGGGAGCGCACCGGGGGCGGGGGGCGGGGACGCCGTCCGCCAGCCACGCTGCCGCGTCATGCACGCATAAATCTCCCTTTATTTCTTTCTCAATCCCTTGAATCGAGAGAGGGCGTCA